TTTGGTAAAATTTACAGTTTAAATAAATCATATTTCTATTTATATTGTATAAGGTCGTATAGCATACAAATATTTAAATATAAATAAAACAATTTGGTGGGTTTCTGAACGCAATTTAATCGATATAGCGCGGGGAAATCGCGGGAATCTGTCGCGTCGTCGCCATCTTTAAAGCGTTTCCATAGTAACAAGGCGCTTGTATTGTTTTTTATTTTTTTGTGAGAATATTTTTTTTTAAATAAAACTATCTTTTCGGATTATTTCGCGGATTCATTTTGATTTTTGGTTTCCGACATTTCGAATGCTTTACAGCAATCATGGTCACGGGAGAGACTGAGGTGTTAGATGTCTCGAAGGTATAGTTGTTACAGACAGCCTACCCACAAATAACAAAATGAAAAGTTGTACCTTACAATATTTTATAACTTTAAATATTTTTATAATTTTAATTAGTTTTATAATTAAATATGGAATATTATTTATTTAATTTTGCTGTTATCATTATAATTATTACAATTTAAAAAATATTAATTAGTAATATATATTTAGTGTTGCCATTATTATATTTATAACCATAAAGAATATACTAATTAAAATTAAAATTAATTAAAACTATTATTTATCTATACTAATAATATAAAGAGGTAAAGTTTGTGAGATTGTGAGTTTGTGACGTTGTAGGGGGTAATCTTTGTATCTACTGAACCGATTTAGATGTTTGGTTAGAAGATAGTTTGAGACCCTGGGAAGGACATAGGTTTTTTAATCCGGAAATCATCCCTTAAGGGGTGAAAATGGGGATGAAAGCTTGTATGGGAAATTAAGCTAGGGACGAACCCAAGCGAAGCAAGGGTGAGTCGCCAGTAGTATTAAAAAATAGTAAGAACTAGAAATGAAAATAAAACAGGATAGATAACTTTTGATTTATTACTTTGTGTCTATTTCATGAGACAATTATTATTAAACTATTTTTTGAGCGGACCCCTAATTTCTTTTCTTAAATAAAAGTAGCCTATGTTAGGTACTCTTTATAACATCAGCTATCTATGAAAGTCCCGTCAAAATCGGTCCAGCCGTTTTGGAGATTAGCCGGAACAAACAGACAGACAGACATACAAAAACTTAAAAAAATGTGTTTTTCTTATAAGTAAGTACCTACTTGTATATATGTAATTCTATATGCGTTAAATAGTAAAAAGCTGTTATTTTAACATTACAAAAAGGCACTTCAATTTTATTTATACCTATAAATTATAAAGATCTTCGATCTTAATTCTTATCAACAATAATTCATGAAACATTTAGCTTTATATACATAAGTTATCATTTTATGTTTTTCATAATACCTGTAAAGGTATAAAATACCAGGAACAGTAAACACGCGAAATGTAAATAACCTATTTACAATATACGAACAACTATCAAAGCATGACACGAAATACAAAATATAAGTACTTTAGACATAAACCTTGTTATCCACTATACGACACGAATGTAGATGCAACGTAAAAAAACGGAGCAGTGGCACAGCTATAATGTGGGCGGGGGTACCCTACAGCCCTACCCCGGTTGTCATCCGATTGGGGGTAATGTCAGTCGGTTTGTGATATGCACATTAAAAAATGTTTGATGGTTTTGGTGCTACCTGTTTAGGGTTTGACAAGTTTCGATAAAAGAGGAGTTTTATTAGGAGTGGAAATCATCGATTATGGCTCCAAGTGTCACACGTGCTAGCTACACGACTGGAACAGAGAAGGATTTTGAACGTGACTTTCGTCACGTGGTACCTCGATAAAGTAGCCTATTTATGTAAGGGTAATGTAGCTTTTTATTATTGAAATGTTTTGTATTTTCAGATACCTATCGCTCGCTAAAGACACACAAACAAAGAACAATAAAAATAAACAAAAAATATTAGTCTTAAATGTAGATAAGATAGTGTTTTCTCTAATACAAGTAGCATGTCAAATTTTAAAGATGACCTTTTACTAATAGATGTAAATATTTATCGCGAATCTAAAGTATCTCTTATAGCATAGCTCGGGCTGTGGCAAAGGTTGATGCTTGGTCAGCAGAAAGTAATCGGGCGCTTATTCAAGGGAAGCGAAGTGGGTCGCCACTGTTGGGCGAGGTACGGAGTTTTAGAGGTATTAACATCGATATAAAAAATTTCCACTGATGTAGATAACATATCGATTACTTTGGTATTATTTAAATCGACTTTAGAAATACCTAGATGTATCAATTGATAACTTAACAGATTTTTTCTTAGGGAACGCTTCCTTAGTGAGCGCTGAGTGCGTGAACGATCTTGCGACACCCCATTAAGACGGTGGAGGTTCCGTGGATAGCACTACCTGTATGTATGCAGGTGGTACCTATGTGTAAATGCATTTCCCAACGCTAAAAAATGGGAAAGTCTTTTTGCTTTTTCAAGACATATGTATTAGCCCATTCAGTATTAAAAAAACTTTCATTTAATAAAGTGAAAATTTAAATTCAGTAAAGATATTGTGCTACTTATTACATCTACCTACCCACATCAAACACCTATCTATAGGACTAAATAAATAAAGCTTAATCTATACTAATATTATAAAGACGTAAAGTTGGTGAGTTTGTGACGTTGTAGGGGGTAATCTCTGGATCTACTTAACCGATTTAGATGAAATTTGGTAAGATCGTTTGAGACCATAGTAGGTATACTTTTTATCCCGGAAATGATACCTTAAGGAGGTGAAAGTTTGTATTGGGAACCAAGCTAGGGACAAACTAATAACGACTTAATAACTTGACTCGATTCGGATCTGCAGCACATGCTAGCTACTAAACAACCGGTGCATTCCATACTACTGGCTAGACGAAGTTCCTTCCAGGAAGACTTACACTGTTCTTCGTCTGAGTATTTACAATGCTTTTGCACTTATAGAAAATAATTTGTTTATATATGAAGAATTGTCTTCCTGCACACATGTATTTTTACAAGAAAATGCTGTAAGAAGTTCACTTCTATTGGCACACGAGTACAGTTGTAGCTACACTAGACGTCTCGTGAAACACAGAAAAGTTAGCTCTGAAAAGAGCTGTTGGTGTCGTAGGAAACATGAATAATCAGCTTTCAAAAGAGCTATTTCATTGTCTGTATGAAACAAGATGTAGTTCTGAAAAGAACTGTTTAACATGTGGAGTACTAAGCGTAGCCAGATTGCAGATCCATCCGTTGCGAGCGCTGCGGGACAAATGCTCGCGCGCATCGACTGCCTAGTTATATTTATAACTTCAGCGGCCCGCGCGAAATCGAGCGACCGCGCGAATTCCCAGAATCCATGAGAGCAGAAGATTCGCGCTATTTTTATCTCATTCTAATGTTACGACCAATCATGTTTTAAATAAAACTAAGATTTTTATTTGTTAGTATAATTTTCTAATTGTAATTATTTTAATTAACACATTTTTATTGGTCAATTATTTTGTAAGTTTTTTATAATTTTTTATATAAGGATGCACATTTTTGACAATAAATATTCTACTCGATTCTACTCATCTCTAATAATTACAAGTTTCATTTATTGACCCCAACTTGTAAACAGTGATGAAGCTATCAAAAGATTAATAAGATATTTCAAATTCATATACCTAAAGGGTAAAGCCACAATATCAGCAGAGCGCTTAAAAAACAACCCTACATATTCTCTGAAAATAGTATCGAATCAAAGTAAATAGCTCTTCCTACTGCAATAAAACTACAACTACTTAATTCCAGATAGTCCCTGTTAATTACTTTGTAAAATTAATAAAAGATCCACAAAAGTCTGATAAATATGTATGAACAACGATATGAAATTGAATTTGTTTGATGTGATCGGTGATCCACTCAGCTGTAAAGTGAATGTTCCGATTACGATTCATAAATCACAACATAAGCGTTCATTCTGTATAAAACATTATTGTGAAAACCTTTCACTAGCTGAGTTATATTATAGTGAGATTTAAAAATAATAAAATATATAATAATACATATTATAATAATACCAACAGGCTATCTGGGTCTACGTTTATACATATACGTTAAAAAGGTATGTTAAAAATTAATATTTAACTTGGTGGTTCAAAGTCACCTATTCTTTCAGCACCATTGGTAAAGTAACTCTGATGTATAAATAACCTCTAATTGAATTTGGAAAGAATGATTGAATCGACAAAAATATCTGTCAGTTGAACCTAAGATTCACATTATTTCCTACCTTTATTTGTTACTAGCGACTCACCCTCGCTTCGCTCGTGTTCGTCCCTTGCTTCCCAATACAATCTGTCATCCCCATTTTCAACCTAAATGAGGGTTGATTTCCCGGATAAAAGTATCTTATATCCTTCCCAGGGTCTCAAATTATCTTCTTGCCAAATTTCATCTAAATCGGTTCAGTAGATATAATAATAATAATAGAATAGAGCCATTACTTCTTTATAACATTGGTATAGATAGAAGTTAAGAATATGTACAATTATTTTAATGATCAGGAAAATATTAATATACATTTTTTTTACTTTTATCTTCTTAATTGTCCAATCACATGTGTTTGAACCATGGATGACAAATAAAAGTTTGAACTTTTAATATTTATAATTATTTTTTATCTACACATACCTTTTGTTATCTGCTTAGTGCTTATGTCAAATTTTCGAATTGTCAGTTCGTGAATTGTCCAAAAAAAAAGCAACGGGAAAATTTACCACTGTCATTCCTATGTTTGTAAATGCACAAAAACCTAATTATTTGCGAAAATTATTCAACATTCCGTCCACCAAACACATTATAGACCGTCCAATTAATAAACGACACAAGCACAAGTTATGAGGTTAAGCCAAATTATATTTTCGGAGATCGCTAGTTGCATAGAACTTGGGCGTAGGACGTCCGAAGATACACTGATCTAACGAGGAAATTGTAGTTTTAGATAATAAGTGCTTATGAGCGTTGCTCAAATACTAAGGATTAAGTCATGACGCGTCCAGGACCTCCGAGTGAAAACCTCCCTACAGTAAGTTTCACGAATAAATAGAATGATAAAAATTTGCCGCTGTTAAATGCGCAATATTTTTATTATGTATAATTCATAAATTTAACCAACTATAATATTTTTTTATTGCTTATAATCTAGATATAAATTCGATTTTAGCTTTCATTAGTTACAAATAAAATGCAATAGATCACAAAAATATTGTGTTTGCATGTTGAACATTTAAAGATATAACTCACTGGATTTTTACTGATATATTTGTAGTTATTTTTAAACTTTTGTTGGTAAACTTATTTTTCAGAGTTGATTTTCACTGATCCATGGTGTCCATATTCAAAGATTGTGATGCTGTATGTCCTAGCTTTTTATACCCCCATAGCTAAAGCTTCCATGAATTCATAATATGTGATTATTTATTCTATAAAATATATAGTTTTTAAAATTATATCAATATTTTTTTCTGAATCCATTATTTTTATATAATTAACTTTATAACTTTTAATAGATGTACATTTTTTATTTCACTTTATTTTGACAATACTTCCATTTGAATATATTGGACCTACGTGCTCATTTAACTCATTGTAAATGCAATTTATGATAAAAAATTTCAGGTAAAATTAGTAGTGGTCGGAGATGGTGGTGTCGGTAAGAGTGCAATTACCATCCAGTTCTTCCAGAAACTATTTGTGACAGACTATGATCCAACTATTGAGGATTCCTACATTCAACACACCGAGGTGGATGGACAGTGGTGCATACTTGATGGTAGGCAAAATAAATAATTTTAATTTTTAACATATAGTTAATGTTAATGAAGTGAATAAAAATTATTTTTATTGCCAATATACTTATATGATAAATGTTAAAATTGTGAAATTTTAAAGATTCTTCAATATTTTGTATGTAATAATTATTATGTTTAGGGAACAAGTTTAACAATACAATAAACACAACATATGAATAAGATTTTATATAGAAATAGATTGCAAATGAGAATGTACTGGTTTCTAACAGCAAAAATGTTAAAAGAAGAGATTATTAATTAGGGCTTAAGAAAAAAAAAAAGTTGAAGGACTTGGATGCTTAAAAGACATTATATTTTCTCATTTTCTTTAAAATTTCTCTTTTGTATCCATTCAATGTGTGTATCATAGTGCTTCTTATAAATGTATCAGTGCGTCATGGAAACATTGCACTATAATCAAGCTAAGTTAGATAGTTTTATATGTTTATTTAATATATAACATTATTTTTCTTGTTTATTGATGTCCTCTTGACATATACTGTTACTTTTTCATGATGATTTGTTAGGATATCCATCGAAATAACACTGATTCTGTAAAAAAACCAACCAGGTCCTTATTAAACTTTTAATTTGCATTTAATATAATAGCTGGTATACTATTAAGTTCCATTTTATCTTTCCACTATGAAAATTCTAGTTTACAGTATTACAGGCATTGCGAGCCCAGTAGTAACACGCTTGCTTGGGAAACCAAATCATAGGATAAATAGATTATTATTGTATTACAATATTGTAAACAATTATTATTTTAAAAGAGCTACTGTTGAGTTTCTCGGCATCTCTTCACAGCAGAACTGCTGTGCAAGCCGGTGATAGATCTCACCTTTCAGACTTACTGACATTTCATTTAAATTTAAAATTGATGATTTAAAAGTGCTTGTAAAAGTCTATTTGAATAAAATATGTTTTAAAAAGTAGACTTAAAAAGGGCTGATAATCTGCCTCATTGCTTGCTAATAAATAATAAGAAATTATTGTAACATTACTGACTAATATTCCAGTTCTGGACACGGCGGGCCAAGAGGAGTTCAGTGCGATGCGGGAGCAGTACATGCGCAAGGGAGACGGTTTCCTTCTGGTGTACTCGGTCACAGACAAGCAAAGTTTCGAGAACATACGACACTTTCACACACAGATATTGAGGGTTAAGGACCGGTGAGCAAATATTTCAATTATGTTGATGAATATAGATATAGTTACTATAAAGTCATTATTGCTACAAAAGTATACAAGAGGTGATTGATTTTTCTTAATAATTTGTAATATTATTTTACTTTTTTCTTTATTGTTACTGGGAAACCTGGTTTTAATTTTCACATCCCGTTCATTTGATCATGGACTTTCTTTAACGATTCCAATTCACCGTTTTCCACAACTTTCCATGGTCACATCCATACGAAGTTAATTCTTATTCTTGCTTGAATTGCAATGTCTTTAATTACAAAAAAATATATCAAGATCAATTCAATTAGGAGATATAGTGATTTTTTATTAATATAGACATAAGAAAAAAATGACAAAATAGATAACAAAGTTTTACTGTATATTAAACAAATTATTTTAAAAATGATCTGATATATTATTATGACAAAAGATGATTGTGAATTTAAAATAACGTGTACCGGTTGAACTGAACAAATTATTACAAATATAAATATTAGATTAAATCAATTTGAATTTGAATTTTGAATCAATTTTTATATAATGTATGATTTAATAATATATTGTACACTAAGTAATATGCGTGTGCACGTGGCGTGTGCAGCGAGACGTACCCGATGCTGGTGGCGGCCAACAAGGTGGACCTGGTGCACCTGCGCGCCGTCAGCGAGGACGCCGGCCGCGAGCTGGCGCGCGCGCTCGCCGCGCCCTACATCGAGACCAGCGCCAAGGAGCCGCCGCTCAACGTCGACGCCGCCTTCCACGAGGTATGCTCATACACACACACACATACACATATATACATACATGCACACATATTCATACACGCACATAAAATAATTATGTTTTATAGACTTAACTCTTGACACAGGTTTTATGGTCTCTGAATGTTTTAATAAAGCTGAAATTAAATGAAATGAAATTACATTCTCAACTATACATATTCTATATAAATTTACCAACAGCGCCATCTGTTTATAGCAGACCTTAATAGATTTTATGCAACCATGATTAACAAAAAGTTGTAGAGTTAACTTTATAGTTATTTTATAAAATGCATGCGTTAGCTATATTATTAGTATGAAATATTCTATTCGTCAACTAACCATATGAAATATTTGCTGTCAACCCACACTTGGTCAATGTGTATTGAAGACAGGTCCATCTCCAGCAGTGGGGCGTTAAAAAGGGCTGAATATAAAATATGGCAGTTGCAGCAATATTAGATTATTTCAATTTATATGATTTAAAAAAGAATAAAAATTGTACAAATATAATTGTTCGTATAATACTTTCTTAGATTTACGCGAATGTTTGACATTATTAAATAAAACTATCTTTTCGGATTATTTCGCGGATTTATTTTGGTCTCTCCCGTGACCATGGATGCTGTAAAGCATTCGAAACGTCGGGAACCAAAAATCAAAATAAATCCGCGAAATAATCCGAAAAGATAGTTTTATTTAATAATATAATTGTTCGTCCTTTAACATCACTACTTTCTATTTTTTATTCGAATCTGTCAAAAACGTAATTTATAAAAAGGTCTTAATCGAATATAGAAAAGTATAAAAATGTGTGTATATATGTGTGCCTACATAAAATATGACAGTTTGCTTTTAAATAAAACTATTTTTTCGGATTTTATCGCGGATTTATTGTTCTTGATTTTTGGTTCACGACGTTCCGAATGCTTTACAACAATCATGATCACGGGAGAGACTAAGGTTTATGATGTCTCAAAAGCATTATATAGTTGTTACAGACAGCCTACCCACAAATTAACAAAAATGAATGCAAAAATTTAAAAATTCGAAACGTCGGGCATCAATAATTAAAATAAATCTTCAAAGATAGTTTTATTTAAAATGTCAAATATTAGCGTAAATCTAAGAAAGTATTATGAAAGTTTGCTAACGTGCCGCCCCTGCCGGCAGCTCGTGCGCATCATCCGCAAGCACCCGCAGCAGGAGGACAAGCTGCGCCGCCGCCGCCGCGCGCTCGGCCGCTGCGCGCTGCTCTGAACACACACACACACACACTTCAGGTCACATGTTTATCTTATGTTATGGTATTTCATAGATTTACATAAAACTATCTTTTCGAATATTTTCGCGGATTTATTTTGTTGTTACGGACAGCTTCAACCCACAAATATAATGATCTTTGAGACATCTTAAACCTTATACATTTGAGACGTATGAGTCTCTCCCGTGACCATGATTGGTGTAAAGCATTCTAAACGTCGGGAACCAAAAATCTAAATAAATCCATGAAATAATCCAAAAAGGTAGTTTTATTTAAAATGTCGAATATTCGAGTAAATCTAAGCAAGTATTAGTAGTAGTTATACTTTAAATTATTGTTTTTTTTATATGCACAAAATGTTTATCAGTATTTGTATTATTGTAAGACTATTAACAAAATTTCATGTTTTGTTATATACTATGGAGAGTAGTGATAAGGAGTCTCTTAAATAGGAGACAAGTTGAAAAAGTGTCCATCTCTATGCTGAAAATAATTGGCGCTGGTGTACGAAAAACTACAATATGAATTTAGGTGTAGTAGAGAAGTGAAGTATGCTGAGTTCAAAAATTTAAAGATTTGCATGACTTAAGTATTTACGTAATAAACCTCAACTATTTACGTAGTTTAAAATAATTAAGTAAATATAATAATTAATAATCCTTGTTTATTTCTGTACTTTTGTACTTCCTTTAATATATATCCTACGCTACTGCAGCGCCGCTATTGTTGGACGCGGTTTCACGGACACTTTTTCATACACAGAGACGCCTCCTTACCTCTTCCCTCCTTAGTACACGGCTAATTTATTTTTAATCTTAAACTTTTTTGAATTTTCATTTTAGATGTGAATAGTTGTATGGGTTTATCTTTCGTAACCAAAGAATAATAGTGAAGTTATATCGGTTATGGCAACTTGGTTGTATTAAACCAGTTTATTTATTTTATTCAAAAGCACAGAAACATATTGTATAGATCTCTTGTTTTCCATAAAATATATTTTTATAAGTAAAAGTGGAAAGTGGAGTGGATGGAAATATTTATTTATAAGCACAAAAATTTAATATTTATGTATAGGTATGCTTTGGCACAATTTAATGTATGTAAGCTCGAAATAATGGCTTTAATGGAGCATAAGTCACAATATTTTTTTACGAATGAGACGGAATATACATACATTTATCCTCAATTTTTATTATAATGTAATATCTTTAGTTTCTTTGATTAATATATACTACACATATAAGGTTTAACATTTTAAAACTTGAAATGTCAATACTAAAAGTATTTTATTTTTGCTAGACGAAAAATGAGCAAAACTTTTGCATCACAGGACCATGTTCCAAAGAAATAATATTATTATATAAATATAATATAAGAATGTATGTATGTATGCACGGGTTAGCTATGTCTATATTGTAAACTATGGGATATTTTTTCTGTATTATTTATTTTCCACAATGAGAGAGTAAAAATAAGGGTCGAGGAGATATCATAAATGGCTCTATATAGATTTAAAGTTACTTCCTTTCAAATGAAAAAAGAACCATCGAAATCGGATCTCATAAGGCGCAGATGTCCAGTAAACACCTCTTTGGCCTTTTTAGGAGAAAGTACCTCTCTAATCAAAACTCTCCTAAAACAAAACAATTCTATAAAGTTGTAAAACCTGTATACCAAGTTTCGTCCAGATCGGTTGTAAAATACGACCATTAGAGGAGTACCAACAAACTGTCATAGGAAAGTAAATTTTGCCAGACTTGAAGCAGAGATGCTTCACTCGCTTCAGTTAACTAATTAGCCCAAGAATGCATCGATCAATAAAGTACTAGGATACATAATCCCATGCTAAAGTTCTATTAAAACTGTCACCAATTGTGTTTAGGTAATTATTCTAGTTGAAATAAATATACAACAAGGTAAATTGTACCTTAATTGCAATACTTAAAGTTGTTATCACAAAAAAATAATAATAAAAGCACGCTCAAATGTTCAAATGAGCGCTCATTCGGAGAGGACATTTGATTCTCTTATACTCTTATCATTTTACACTCTCTGTTACACTTAGAGCTAAGGAAAGGGTTTGAAATAATGTATTGTTATTAATTGTAATATATTATGTATATTATAACGAATATGATTACAAGTGTTGTGAACATTTTCACGCCTACAAATACTATTCAAGGACTTATAATCTTTTTGGCACATTCTGCACCTTTTCTATATGGGTTGGTTTTTTTTTTAAATTATAAATAACTTTGACGTATTTTAACGTTTTGCGTAAAACTTTTCTTTCTAGTCATTTTATGCTACATTTTGTTTTACTGACTTAACAAATGTTAATATCGATTTTGAAAATAGGTATTTCGATTTTCAAACTCTATAATATTAATCGTTGTCACAATGTATTTAAAATGTCAAACTATATATTAATTTAATAAGTTGACGATTAAATTACATTCATAAAAATGATAAGATTATTTTTTTAGGTTTTGGTATAAATATATGTCATATAATAGAGTGTAAGATGGGTTTACTTGTGAATTTGTAGTATATAATTATAATTGCGTTATATACATTGATATTAAAAAAACATAGATACACATTTCCTAACAAATATCTCTTCAAAAACTGTCGTCGATATGTGACGTTAAGTCAAACCAAAGAAAAAACTTGAAAAATCGAAAGTTATGATTCTTTTCACACAAATTCAACCTTATGCACATCACATGAAGTAATTTTTTTAAACAAAACAACGTGCGTTTGAGTTTTTTCATTCGAAAAGCAATGAACCAAAGAGATTTGAAAAATGCGCACAATCTCGAATTGCGTGCTTTTTTTGAGGACACTTTTGACCCGCTAATTGTGTATCTTGAGTTTTTGCATATCACTGGTTATTATAATAATATATTATAATTATATAAATAAATGAACACAAAACAGAACAAAATTTCGTAGAGTTGACGAAGTAATCTGTGCTCAAATGGCACGCTTAGAAGCTATTAACTTTGAATTGAATACACAAGATTTTAACGAGTCCCTCTTGAACTTACCTGTGGTGTTATGTATGTGCGCTCGTCTGTATGTTATAAATTACTGTTAAGTAAGTTATTACAATGTATTTATAAACCCCATATATTTAAGATATGTTAACGTGATGTGAACCTTACGTAGAGAGCATTAAGGTCGATTTTTCATATATTTAAAGAATACATATTAGTGACATACCTTATGTTAAGAGGATAGAATTATTTGTGAAAAATTATGTTTATTGGTTATTTTATTAAAGAAACATTAATTTAAGAATAAGAGAAACTGATTTGAACTAACAAAATTTTATTATCGTCTTTCTGTTCATGAAAATTATTAAGTATTATTTGATGGTGATGTTCTCGCTAGATACCAAAGTAATGTGAACTGTGCGCTTTTCAAAGTTTCCATAGGTTTTAAAGTGTACCATGTTGTGTAATTTTTAAACGTCAATTTTCTTTGAAAGAGTTTTAAGTAGTAGCCTGCCTGGAATATATTATAGTATAAACCTGACTAATATTATAAATGTGAAAGTTTAGATGTTTGGATGTTTGTTACTCAATCACGCCAGAACGGCTAAACAGATCTGGATGAAATTTGGCACACAGATAGATTATAGTCTGGAATAGTACATAGACTTTTTATCCTGGAATAATGAACGGTTCCTGTGGGATAGATTTGTTTAAGATAAATTGAAGTTTTAGTCGTTTTCAGTAAACAAATGATAAACAAATATTAAAATTAATTTAAAGTCAAAGGGATGTATAAATGCGTAGTCCAAAAATCTATTATTATTCTAAAGTGAACAGCCCTCGCTCTTAAGTCCTAACGTTGGGAAATGCATTTACGCACGAGGTGTGGGACTCACCGGCAAAGCCAGTACTACCCACTAAAGCCCAACAAAGCCTTCCCCCTTCTTAATGGGGCGTCGCAGGATCGCTTACGCATTCAACTACGACGCCCCGATGGCAGGTCTGCCAAAGCAGACTATTATTGCCAAAGCAGACAGAGATTAGGTATGTATAGTGAATGAAAACTACCAATCAATTATTTTTTACTTTTTAGTGCTTTTGTTTGAAGTCGGTTTTTATTTTTTTGTTAAAAAGTTTTTATCATAATATACCAATCCCACGGGAAGTGGAACTAATTCATATAACGGGAAAATGTAATGGGATCGATGTAACGGGATTAAAGGCAACCTTTGCTAATCGCAGGTAACATTAACTATTAACAATAGTTTTGAGTGAAAGATGTTATTCTACAATAGTTGAAAAATAAAAAAAATATATATGCGGGAATGACATTATAATATGATTACTATTAAATTAGTAATTTCAATAGAATATTAAAATTTTATAGTTTCCAAAGATTGTATACTCAATAATGTATCTACAATTATACATGTAAACCCTTTTTTGTTTATATAATTAACTAGCAATTCACCCTCAGGTTCGTCTCTTACGTACGCTCGTACGTTTTAACGTTTAGTATATATCAGAGATGAGATATTTTCCCGCAGTAAAAAGTATCCTATATGTTGACCCGGATAACTAGCTATCATCATACAAAATTTCATCAAAATCTGTCCAGCGGTTTTCTCGTTCGTTTATTCATTCCCAGACAGATAAAATTTTCAAAATACTATATATTCGGCATCTGTATCGATAACACCTCCAGGTAAATTTCAATAAGATATTCTAAAAAATATTTAATGTACTGATTCGACTCAGAATTTTAGTATATGTATACTGTATAGATAATTTATTAATAATTAATTCATATTATTTTTAAAGTGTAATAAATGATATCTTTTCTAAGCTTTCAGATCAGTAGTTTCACACAAATACACTCAAACTCCTTACCATGTTAAAATAGTTATTATTAAAGCTCTTTCAGAGAAAAAATCTGTATTTTTCTAATTAATTCTCGTGATGTGACAGACTTTGTGCTTCTAGACATAAACCAT